ACTAACTGAACTTCATTTTCCTCCATCTGTTTCTCACAACCTTCCTAATTGCTAACTTCCTCTATTTAACTAAGTACTAACAGTAACAGAATTTCTGCTATTGTAACTGCTACCCTTCACCCCTCTTAACTACTTCATGCCCTTGTACCAGTAATCGTAACAATATCCATACCTTGAAAGGATTATTATCCTCAAGAATCGAAAGAAAACAACAGGAACTGCATCTGAATCTTGCCTATTTCTTTTCATGCATCATATTCAGGAAATGAATTGGACCACTGAATTAATCCAGCCGCCACTGCTCTATTTTCTTCTTTCATGATCTTTCTTTCCAAGATTGCTATAGGCTTGACAATAACTCGTCTTCTTCAGCTTTATCCACATCTAAGAACCTATCCTTTTCCACTCATTCCATCATATGTATTTCCTTCACGCTACATTGATGGCATGGACTGTACTTCTCACCATATTTAATTGTAGCACCACTCTAGCCTTCTTCTTTGCAATCATAAAGGACTTGAGTTCTTCAGACCATGAAAGCTTCACTCCATCTAAGAGCTCAAAGTTTGGAGCTCTTTCAGGATCAAGCCACCTCTCGAACATGCAATTTTTTCCGTTCACATAAACAGCATATGGAGAACACTTGCCTCTTTGGTTGACCATCAATCTTCTCTCTTGCATCTACGACAATGATAAGAGTTTATTTCATCCTCGAGAGTGGTTTGATGAAACCCAGAGGGAGTGGAGGGAGAAGATGACACCAACCAAAAAACATATAACTTGGAACCTACAAAAATCACTCCCGGTGGTGCATGAAACCCCATGTCCTGTGTTAAGGAAAAAATAAAATAAATAAAATCGTATGTCCTGTAATGACTATGAAGATTAAGCATATGTGAGTAATTAAAAGGTAGGTCTTGGTGAATTGGACCAACAATTTTTAGATTAGTGGTGGATCTACAAAACGAAGGCTCAAACTCGAGCTTTCTCCTCTCTTGCCTGGCAAGAATATAGACTTTGATTTACAATTGATTATAAATTAACATGAATTTCTTGTTTTTGAATTACTGGAAAAATTCAGTGCAGGGTCCTTTCGGTGGAGAAACCTGTCAGTGTTAAATGCAGTGAGCACCATCAAGCCAAGGAAAATCAGATTTGACAGTGCTGATAACACGAGCATCAATCCTGAAGCTATATGACCTTTAATCTCTTTTGCGTACTAAACAGAAACGAGTGCCAGGAATGTTAATGTGAATGAGCAAACTCACCATGCAAGATTGAATTTTCTCATTGATTTCTTGAAAAGAGCTGGCCTCCAAGTCTGTTACACAGCATACAGATTGATTTATTAGATGAGAGCAGGTTTCCTCACACAGAATACATATGGTATTATCACAGGCCTAGTTTCATATCAAGCATCACAATAGGAAGAGTAAAGATGCCACAAAAAACATAATAGGGAACAAATATAGGTGACGATTGAAGCAACAAAAGCCATGAAATCATACAAGTGGTTTACTCCTGTATAGTGCAAGAACTCTTGCTTCACCAAGTTAAAGTGAAAGAAACATTTCAGGACATAGAGAAGAGAGAGGGAAATTTGTATCAGAAGTGCAAGCCACCATAGCAAAAGAAAAGCAGTTGAAGGAAGCATACGAAATACTTGCCAGACATCTTGTGAACAATTATTATTAGGTTCACTGAGGACCTTCCGTAGCAAGGCTTGTGTACCTAAAGACAGTCTTATCCTGAAGTAGCCTGCATGTGTCCTAGTTAAAATGGAAGACTTTGATAGCTTGTCAACTTCAGCTTGGTAGCCATTTTGTTCTTTGCTGGTGATGATCATAGCATCGATTTTGATCTCAATTTCTGGTTTAGCATGTACATCACTGTTGCTTCCATTTATCTATATTGAAGGAAGTGGGCCTGAGTATAAGAACCCCTGAATTTCCGTATCAGGCTATATGGGTGCTTATATAGGTAGAGAAATGGGCGTGAGACAAGACAAAAAGCAATGGGAAACTATGTATTAGGTGTGAAAGCTATCATGCCCCATATTCTATGGAGGGCATAGCTTTGCTTGTTGACATATTGAAAAAAAAAAAATTCTTGGAAGATACTCTCATTTTCTTTGATATTATAATAGTTTTTATTATTAATTATAATTTAAAGAAAAAATATAAATTTAAGATGAAAAACAGATTTAAATACTAAAAATATTTCTAACCATTCCACTTCACAACACCAAAAGAAGCAAAATGCATTGAAAACAGTGGTTCATGGAATGGATAAATAAAAGCCTTACTGTTTTTATCAGAAGGTTCCAACGCAGATCACAGATAAATTTTTTGGCACCGCCTACTTCTTGATTTTAAGAATGTTCCTTCTAGGGCCAGCATAAGAGTTCAGAGATATTGTACAACAATAAAAAATAACGAACCTGAAAGTTCCATTGCTGAAACCAATCCATGAATCAAATTAAGTCTTGGAACATGCAGTCTGTTCTCGTAAAATAAGAACTAGGATACACCATAGGCGGGTTGGCAAGGCATATTTCAGTTAAAGTGAAGATATCACTGGAAGTGCTTAACATTATCCTTCAAGTGCTTTTCTTTCTTTAACTGTCAGAGGATCCTCAGAAAAATGTCAATGTTATTTAAATCTGAACTGGTGTATTCATCATAGATGTCAGAGGATCCATGAATTGGTGGCTATCAAACAACAATTTTGGCATTGAATAAATACCGACCTATAGCTCTAAAAGAATAGTATAATTAAAAGGGAGCACCCTTTTACTTGTGATCTGCGTTGGAACCTTGAAGATGAGTAGGTAAAAGAAAGATTTGATAAGAATGTTAATGGTTACAAGGTGATAACGAAGTATAAATTACTAAACAAAATGGGAATCCCCATAAAGCAATGGGACGTATATATTATCCCCTACTGGGGGAGCTGCAGCTGACTATAGAAAAGGGATCGTTCTTCTTCCCTTTTTCCCCCCTGCTTTTCCTAACTCCCAAGTCTTCCTGTTTATGGAGTCCACTCATGTTTCTAACGTTTCCTATTCAGTATTCACAATTGAGAGAACTCCAAGCACAAAGCTTATAGCCGATCTTTCACGTTTCGAGGGGCGGTTTACAGAAATTGAAAGCAGCAGCATAAAAGGAAAATCCCCTAACCTATAGTTTGGTTAGTATTCCATAACAGAAAGTTTAGATATAGAAGAAGATATAAACTTACTGAGTTAAAAAACAAAAATGAAGACATAAATAAATTTACATTGGAAATAATCTTAAAATGAATTTATATATTAATTTTTAAAATAAAAAAATACAGAAAAACATGTTTTTTCTATCCGTTATATATTTCCGAGACCGTAATCAAATGTCAAATTACTTTTCTTTTAATAAAGCCATATACATGTGTGTGCACTGGCAATTTAGGCAAAAGAAACATGATAATTGCTAAGTATTTTTTATTTTAATTATTTGGCACATCAAGATCTCATACATATCAGTTAGAGAGGCTATGAGAAAGAAAGATTATCTTGAAGGCACCACTCTATACATGAATAATATATGTGCTTGAAACCTAGAGAGACGTACGTGTAGTGTCAAGTATGGAAGTTGACTCCACAATATCTTACCATTAACACAAGTTTTCATCCATAATATATTAATTAAATGTTAATTCCAATATATATATAGATAGATAGCCGAACACTGAGACCTGAAATGAAAACAAGAAACAAGTTTCCACCATAGATTAATGTCATATCATATCCTGTTGTTAGTGCTTGATAGGGTTTTTCGTCGGCTTCCTTTCCACAAGTTCCACTCAAATATGTTATGCGTCTCATTTTCCCAGTTTTATTAGATTTTTTTACTCTTGAAAGACGAGTGGTTAATGACTGAGATCGATCAAGCTAGATTGTCGTCAACTATATATATATATATGAATATGAGCATAATAAGGAAGGGAAAGTTGGGAATCAAGTAGAGAACTAATGTCATGTCGTTCCAAGTAGCAACCATGCTTAATTACAGGATTAGCAATGAAGGTGCATCGCTTCTACGTACAAGAAATGCACTCTGTATATTTGCTCTGATGCTAGACACGTTCAATGACTAATACTCTCCAACTAGATATTGGTAAAGTAAAATGCGAAACATAACATTAAACGAGAATTATTAAAGAATAATATAAAAACATTCTTTTAATAGTTTAAGACAAGGTTTTTTAATATAACATTAGAATTTTATTGACTATACTTTGAATTTTATCATTCTATTTTAATTAATAAAATTAAATATAAAGTATTATAATATAAAATTATTCTTGAAATTTATTAGGTTGATTATACAACCCTTTGTGTATTTTAACATAATTATATAAAATATAGCTAGCTTTTCGTGGTGGGTTGTGACAAATATCAATGGTGTTGCAATTTACTGATGATGACAGGAAAGAGAGAGCTTAAATGACTAATTGCTGTTCTACTATCTTCTGTTGGGACACCATTGGTGCATGCTTTAGGAAAATATATAATTTATTCATAGAATAACCACTCTTAAACTATAGTGGTAAATGAAGTCAGTGTCAATTAGGCATTAGTTATCCTTTTCATTTATCAACAAAAAAAAAAACAGTTGGCTCACTATTTAAACCAACATCTAAGTCATACCTTATAAATTATAATTTATAAAATTTAGATTAATTTAATAATTCAAACCATGATACAATCAACTTAGAATCTAAATTTATTCAGTTTGAGGAAAAAAATAAGGGAATAAATTGATCCAATCATACATTTAAATTGACTCATAACATGATTAACTTGACTAAAATTATTAATTTTTTTAAAATAAATATTTTTTTAATTAAAATAATATTTTTTTAATTAAAAAAATAGTTAAGTCGAATATAAAGTGAAGATTTGAAAACTATATCATAACAATTGAAAGGCTGTGGTTTGGATGCTGGTGTTAAGTGGGCTGATTAACTAGTTTGGACCATTAAATTCAGCAGGTTTCGTATGACTAGATATGTAATTTTGAACAACCATGGCTACAGTATATGAAGATAAGCAAGCTAAGCATTGCGATGTGGAAAACAGAACTTTATTTCCTTCACAAAATTCGAATGGCTTACATAAAGCATCTTCTCTACCTGCACAAGGCATCAACAATATTTTATGCCTTCTGCCATCACCACAGCTACCACCACTGCTAGTGTTATTACATGTATTATTCCCACTAATACTTGTGGGCTCGTTAAGAACGACAAGGTTATATTCCATGCTAAGCGAAGCTATCTCCGCCCCACTATTTTCAACGGATCCATTGGCATATGCCATGTTATAATCCTCACTGCAAGAAACCATTTCTTGTTCTTTGCTACTTTTGTTGCCTCTTATTGTGACCCAAGCATCATCCCATGTCGACCAGCTGTGTGCTTTTCCATTGCCTTCAGTCAATTGCTTGATTCTTTCGAATGGAGAGACCAGAGAAGTATTCTGGGTCGAATCCCAAGTTGTCTCTAACTTCTCCATTGAGTCCCACAAGACTTGATCCAGAACACATGTTGGAGTGTCTGCTTTTGAGCTATTGTTTTCCTTTAAAATAAGATTTGGCTCTTCAATAATAAAATCATGTTTAAGTAATTCACTGGCTGACCACCTTTCCATCGGGTCCCTCTTCAAGCACTTGCTCAAAAAGTCCCTTGCTTGCTTAGACATGAAGCTTGGAATCTCTGGCGCGTTGCCCGAAAACCCAATCTGGTAAAGAGCTGAAACTGGGTCCGAGACATTCAACCATGGAGCCTGTCCGGTGGCCATCTCGACCATGGTACACCCAACAGCCCATATATCAGCAGGGAACCCTTGGTGTTCAGCACGCGCCGCTTCGGGTGCCATGTAAAGTGGTGTGCCTGAAATTGTTGCCGTCGTGCCCCAATCTGCCTCTGACACCTCATCAACCCGCTTAGCACAACCCAAGTCAGCAATTTTTGCCCCATCACTAGTGACCAAAATATTGTGACCCTTGATGTCACAATGCACTATGCCATTACAATGAAGATACTCGAGGCCGAGCAAAATTGTCCGAGCATACGATCGGATCATGTCCTCGTCAAGACAACCTCCACCCTCCCGAATTACATCGATAAGCGTGCCACCGGATGCATACTCCAAGAAAAGATTGTACAAGACCTTACCATTTTCATTAGTAATGTCGCAGCCCTTATATGCTACAATTTGCGGACACCTTAATGTTGAAAGAACAATTTGCTCCTTTTGAAGTGACTCCGATTTTGATAGTTCAGCTGACTTCACCGCAAAGACCTGACCGGACAGGTTGGCCCTGGCCATCGAGACGGTGGCTGATGAGCCACGGCCAATGATTTGGCCTCTAGTCCAGTCCATTTTGGAGAGAATGGGGAGGGGGGTAAAAGATTTAAGGGATGTGTATTAAGCTGAATTGTTTGTTATGGTAGCTGGCCATTGCAAGCTTCTATATATAGCACCTATAAAAACAGTTATGTGGTTGGCTTGGTACGTTTGGCTTTAAAGCAAGAAACATTGCTTTCTTCATTCAACTTTATTTTTTACACATTTTGTGGTCAATGGGCGGCCGCCGTTACTTCCTCTCTCTAAAGGCAAAGCTTCCAGGTGTCGAACAGCTGGTGGGTTGCAAGCAAATTTGGCCGGCTTTGGAGGCCACTTGCTTAATCTTAACGCTGAGCTCATTAGCTTAGCTATGGAATGATGCCTTGTTGACGAGATTATCACGTGAGCACATGCATGCTTTGTGTTGACGTCTTTTGTTAATGAGCGTGGGATCATACAATGGATGGTATATTCCATACTTTAGAGAGGTTAATTAGAGGATAAGAGTTTGTATTAATACAGAGTAGATTAGTTTAATCTCCATTGTTAATTGACTTTTGAAAGTCTCTAATGGTAGTGGACAATGAATGTGAAGGTAAACCTCTAATTAATAATGCTATGATATTGATCCTTGAACCAAGCTAGCTATAACAAGTTGGATTTTGTTATTAATTTTGAAGTAAAAGTCAATTAGTGCTTTACTTATAATGACTGTCGACTCATGGATTAAATGCTAATTAGGTCAAGAAATATTCTTCTTTAATTACATAGTAGCATGACTGTATGCTACAACTAAAAGTAATGTGGTATAAAGTATTTTAATAAAAATAATAATTATGTTTTTTTATATTTTTTTAATATTAGCATATCAAAATATTAAAAAAACACATTCAATTTAATATTTTTTAAGAAAAAACATGTTGAACTGTAAAAACAACACCCTCTAAGGATCAAAGTGGTGGTTGTTAAAATTATTAAGTTATGTGAATTGTTAGAATATCACAATCTAATAATTCAAAAGTACATTATATATCGTAGATATTCAAAGTCATGTTAGAAACTTAGATAACTTCAAGAGTGAATTATCGTACATTGTCAAACTCATGTTAGAAACTTAGATAACTTGTAAATGCATTGTTGATGACTAGATCCTCATGGAAAAAAATGATAGATTAAAGTATGGGCATTTTCAACAATTACTTTGTCATTACTCTTAATTTTTTTTAAGTAATATTTAGTCTTTAAAATCTCTTAATTGATATGAAGTGTTCAGCACAAAATCTTACATTTTATGTACTTAATTAATTTGGTTGATAGGATATTTCAATATTTAGTTAACATATTTTGTATTTAATTAAAGCCTCAAATTATTGTGACTGATGTGAGAATTTTTGGCTAGTTTCTATCAAGGTTATAATTCATTATTTTCCATCAATTAATTTATTCTTAATTATGACCATATTCATTCCAAAGAAAAGAAATTGCTTGCTAGCTCTTGAGTAATTTTAGATTTTAATTAATGCATTTGCATGCCATAATTATGTGAATTCACCAGGCTATTTGAATGGATGATCTAAAGCATCATAGCCTTAGATTTCAGGGCCAAACCTACAACTCTAGAAGAAGCAATTTGTTGCTTTCCTAGCTTAGAAATTTAGAATTGTAGGTGAAGTATACAAGAAGAATTCACAAGGCATTGTTCAAGGCACCTAAGAGAAGCAAATGCAAAAGAATGAATGAAAGCTGCAACCAATTCCCAAGAAAAGCCAAGAATCTATCTATCCGACGTTCCTTTCAAGTAACACAAACTATTACGTTGCTTTCTTCATGTGCCAGCCACCTTTTCCTTGGCTTCACTCCCTCCCTTTCACCTCTTCCAGTTTGGCTTTCGGTAAAAGGTTTGGGACCCATTCTTTCTTATGTAAAGATCAAACACTTCGGTGCGTTGAATGGATAATCGGCGTAAAGTAGCATAAAGCGGAGTAAAATATCCTTAAACAACAAGGAAATACATTTGAATTTCTTGAAGAAACACTGTGATTGTTCAGGACTGTGACATACTTTGGACTCTTCCTACCTGCTGCTGCTGCTGCTACTTTGAAACCCCACTTGGAAAAAAACAAAAGATTTTGATTGCTTTCTTTCCCAGGAAGGACTATTAATTTTCACTAGGGTTTTTTCTTAGATCAAATATTGGGAAATTAAAATGGGCTGATAGAATGTTAGTTACATTGTTTGCAAGTTGTTGCCGAAGGTGAGATAGAGAGCTACCAACTGGTAATAGTAAAGATCACAGACACAGATGTAGTTTTTATGTACTGACAAAGTTTGCGGGACAGCCGGCGCCCGTCTTTAACATTACATGCTTTTGGTGAGGAAAAAAGAAGAAAAAAAAAATGTGAAAAAGCTAGCGCAAGAATAAAGTATGTGAGGTAGGAGATGATTCGCCTCGTTTGCGGCCCTAACTAAAAAATTTTTAAAAAAAAATAATTTTTTTATATATTTTTAGATTAATTTTTATATGTCAATATTAAAAATAAATTTAAAAAAATAAAAAATATTATTTTAATTTATTTTAAAAAAAAATATTTTAAAAAACAACTATTATCATTCCTTCAAAAACAAACTAAAATTAAATGAGTTGTTTAAATATATCCCTTAATAGATTTGTTTTTATTATTTTATCCTTATATGGAGTAATATTTTATTGATATAGATAATTATTTTAAAATACTAACAGACTTGACAAATTAATCTAAAATCTAACTAAATCAAGACTTGTATTGATTTGGGTTAAAATAAAAATAAAAATAAAAATAAAACTTAGTTGATTTGGTGATTCAATAAAAAACTTGAGCTGATCTTATTAACCCGAGTCTAATCCGATTAGAACTTGACAATTAATTCATTAACTTTATATCTTTAATCAAAACAATGTAATTTAGATTTTTTAAAAAGAAAAAAATTTAGGAATAACATTGGTTATTAGATTTTAAAACAATGATATAGAATTTATGAAATTTAATTAATTCTTAAATTTTTTTTATGAAACGGTAGGAAAATGTATAGTTGGCAATGCTCCTAATAAGTTCCATGAAAACCAACCCACCAACTACCTATCATGCTTAGAATGGAAGTTTGGTCCAAATTACACAAGAAAATTACATTAACTAATGCATTACAAAATTCAAAAAGTTACATCATCAATGTCATCTCTCTTTCTGTTGTTGATCATGTCATTGTCATCAAACCAAAGGGAATTGAATATCCATGTATAAGTTGTTCACCCCTTGACCTTTGATCATTAAATCAATGTCCCACTTGTTTATGCGGCAATGTCTACATTGAAACTGTGGTTGAAATGAAAAGGCATTATTTCTTTATGTTTTTTCATTCTAAACATGAAAAGAATTTAATTTTAGTTAATAAGAAATAAAAGATTTCCCTTATCATCATGCATGCCATCAAAAAAACACTAAACTAAACTAAACGTGCATGGTGCATCATCGTTCTTAATTGACCATGAAAAGGCAGTGTGATGTGATTTTTATTTTTTATTTTGCTAGAAAGTAACGGGAACTAAGGGGCCCATTTGTGGCTTCCTTGTGACTGATCTTAGCTCTTCGTTCTTGGCTCTTCAATGGCCACAGGAGGTGCTGGTGCTATTAACTGTTAGAAAACGCATTTTGCAGGCCTTTCTTTGCCCTCCTAGCACTATTCCCTTCTTCACCGGCCACTTTCTCAACTAACATGAAAATAGCCACCAAAGTTGGCAGTTGAGGAGGAAGCACAAGTGCAGGCACTCAGTTGTTTGGTGACCAAAAGAATATATGCAAATGAAGGTGGGCAACTCACGTCAAGCATAAAGTAAGACACTAGAGACTTTTCTGTGACAGGGACTGAGTAAACGTTAGTGAGCAAATAAGACTATATTGCATAACGATGCACAGAAACATTGGCGAGCAAATACGACTAGACAACTAGATGTGGGTGAGTAGATAAGCCTGGACATGACTAAATGAGGTGGTGGACGAAGAGTAGAAAACGAATTTCTAGCTAATCCTAAACGCACACCAATCACATGCAAATGCACTGGTCGAGTCATACACCAAACGCTACCCAGTACTAGATTGCATGTAAACTAGACCCCCATTTTCCATGTCCCCACAAAGCTATATTTGAGCCTGAAATCTTTGGTGAAACTAACTAAATAAAAAGCGACTAGAAACAATTATCCTGATGGTGAAGTTTAAAGGAAGGTAAGGTTTGATAACAGCATAAACCTAACAGATCAAAAACTTTCCAATCTGTGGACCTGTAAATGACAATTATTAATTATATGCCTGAAGAGCAGTGTTCATTTCATGAACCTACTGAAAATGTATTAATGTAACCTAACATAACCTAACACTCTTTGGCTCCCTCTTTTCTAAGGATAGATAGGAAATAACCTGGACAAGAGTTTGAATAAGAACTGCATGCATCAAGGGAAAAAAATGGCCTTAAACTAACACAGCATTCAATGCATATGGCATTTTATACTGTATCAATCTGTAATTGATAAGAAGCAAGCAAATGAATATTTACAATAACATCTGTTTAATTTAAGTAGGGGGCAGAAACATCATATTTTTCATCAGTGACTCCCATCACCTTTTGAAAAGCACATTACATATTAGTTGATAAGATGGGGAAATATGAGACAGACCCCAAACTATATCCTTTAAGCTGCCTCTGCAAATCCAACTCTTAGCTTTCCAGAATCAAAGACAGTGTGGTAACGACCCATGAAAATATCTCCCAGTATCCTGAATTGCCCAAGATCAATAGGTAAGACTCCACGGAACATATGACCATCTATGACTATGGAATGAAGGTTATAAAACAAGCGAAACATGTTTTTAGGATCATTAAAAAGGTTTGTTGAGAATATGATGTACCAGAGAGGTCCCCGAGGAGGAGGTATATCCAAAGCAGTGAAGCCACTGATGCACTGGGCAGCTGAACCCTGGCCAACCTTGAGAATGTACTGATCACAAACCAGGAAAAAGGCATTAGTTCTATGAATTAATATGTATGGTTAATGAAGTACGTTAAAGGGGTAATGTTTCATGCAATACTAAGTTGTGTTGCATATTCAATAGGAGCACTTCATGTGTAAATGGAGGAAAAGTTAGGCCGTGTCCAAGTTCCTTATGAGCTTATTGTCGGACTATGGACTATATTACTACTAGAATACAAATTTAGACTACAGCTATGCATCCCAACATAATGACAAGACCAAAATCAGTTCTTAGAAGGAACTTAATGACAGTCAATCAAAACATCACACAATTTTGTATCTCTTAGAGCAAACAAATAAATGTAACTGACACCTCTTTATTATGATGATTAGCTGGTTGCATTTCACCAACTTGTGCATGGTTACAAATCCGATAAACAGTTACAAGTGCATACTTTTTTTTTTTTTTGGGGGGGGGGGCGTGGGGAAGACTTGAGAGTTCAGATACAATACCTCCTCTGGAGCGAGCTCAAACTCTTTGCCTCCAATTGTGAAGGCAACCGTGGGCATGGAAGGAACACTTTCACAGTCAACAGCTGATTCTCCCATCGGGTTTGGCATTCGTTCACAAAGCTGCAAAAGTATCATGGGTATCAGCAAGAGAAGCATATCGCAAAGGCCCAAGAAATTATTAAGGAATAATGCATGTGTTATCACCTCATTGATTAATATATAAAGTGCTAACGCATTTAATTCACCTGACTCGCATAGTCCAATATACGATCTTGTGTCTGGTTCTGCTTCAGCTGGCTTCGCATCCAGACAACTGCCATTTCACAAGCAGAGCACATAGCATCACCAAGAACACCAGATGACTTGTCATTGCCCTCATCCACCACGCTCTGAATGCTAATGCTAAGCAAAATTACAAAACACTAAGTTAACTGCCTATCCACAGCACAAGGTAAAACTTTCTACTGACAAAAGCAGGAGCATGCATGGCAGCAAGAATTTGCTTCCATGAAAAGGGGTAATATACAAAAAGAAGGGGTGTGCTTTAATGACTTTTCTCTGGCCTATAAACAAAAACAGGGGCCAGTATCAAGGAGCAAAAATAATGCATCCAAGTAAAATTGTGAAAGCCTGCGCATAAGAACGGAACACTTTAGAGCCCAACCTTATGCCACGGGTTCCATCAAACATGCAAAGCCCAATTTGAGAGCAAATCCTCTTTGGCTGTGCCTGTAAATACATAGGCAAGAACACAAATAAATCCTTAAATGCTGACCACAACCATTTTCTCAGGTAAAATTTTTATCAGCCAAGGTTAATAGAGTGTCTGAAATAAAAGTAAAGCTAGTTTTCACCTCAGAGAGTAGCAAATCCATTATGGCTTCCCCGTATTGTGAAACAACAGCCTTGCATTGCTGGCTAACAACTCCAGAGGCTCCAATGGCTTGATTTATCATTGTAATTATAGTCTGCAAGAAAAAGAGAGAAACAAACAAATATTTAAGCATACGCAGATTGACAACAGAACTACAGATCTGCATCATAGAAGATTCTAATTTTTCCTCTAAATGACTTATATAAAAAAATTATTTCAAAGCCTGTGACAAGGTCAGTCTAGAAGTCTATTACACTGCTAGGTTGAACACATAAAAAGTTTACAAGAAAATCAAGTTAAAAACTACCATATCCAAGTACAATTCAAAGTCAGAATCCATATCAGATAATTGTACCCAGACAGGGGCAACAAAACACGAGAATGAATTCATCTTTAAATCCTCAAACCAACAGAAGAAAAATATCAACAGCTTTTTACCTTTTCATCCTATTTGTTCTAGTCAATCCATACAACTTTAACTCAAGGTCAATAAATAGGATAGCTAAACAGTTAGCTAGCAAAGTGTACCGAATAAGATATCTACAATTATTCATCCAACAAGCTGAAGCATTCTTGTGTTTTGTTCATACCGCTGGACCTGCCAACAAGGAAGTTCCAGAATCTGCAATTGCTGCACAACCGCTGGCACAATACCCTGAATAGAAGCATCCTTAGGGTGATTAGACAATATAATGACAGGTAGTGTAGAATCATATGCAATATAGCACACATATATATAAAGACACATGGATACATGCTACATACAATATATCTTATTACACAGCTTTGCTCTACTGGTATATTTGAGTTTCTATTTAAGAAGTGAAGGTAATAAGAGAGAACTTACCAGTTGGTTTATCACCAATATGGACATCACCCATGTTGAACTATGAGCAAGAATTACAGTAAAACAAAATGAGAAAAATAATTGAAAAATATAGATAAAACATTTATTGAGAACTCTTAAGAAAAGAAAAGGGTACAGCCAACCAACCTGCCAATAGCCTTTCCGTGTCACAGGAACAAAAGTGTGCTTGCCCTTGTAATGTTTCGGGTCCATCCCACCAAACACAATTTCACCCCCTTCTTCATCCTCTGCATTGCGGTTAAGCCAGAAAGAAAATACTGGTTCCTTGATAAGACCATGTTTAATCATGTTGTCCCTGTTCAAAAAGCACGTGTCACTCAAACACAAACCATAAAAAATATTTAAATGGTCAGTGAGAACTAAAAGATAAGACAAATACCAGACAGGCACAGCATCTCCCACTGAAATTTCTTTGAACCCAAGTCCCAATATACCATCAAACTTGGCCACCAAAAATGTGATACCAGGCTCCTTAGTTGCCTCAATAAATTCCTTAAAATTATAAAAGTGCAGTGAGAACAGACTGGCTAATCACACCATGTAATAACATGCAAATAAGTTGAAAGACAACATTACCTGATCTTTCACAACCAGGCCACCAACTTCGATGGCGTCATTACTGAAGAAACCAGAAATAGATCCACTGCCATAGCGAATTTCAGCACTTTTTCCTGAAAAAAAGAAAAAGAAGAAAAATACGCATATGATAGTTTCTCTGTCATACAGCTCATGCAACTGCAATGACGAGCAATTCAGACTAAATAATCATAGCTAGTGATGCATTGTGTGGTTTAAGATTATAGTGAAGGTATCATTAGTTCCTAACTAATTTTAGTATCTGTACAGATTATAGCTCATCATGGCAACCACATACCTAAACAAAAAAGAAATTAATATGCAGCATTTTCATATTTACTTGGACCTAAACATTCTAGATAAACGTCCAATGGACCACATACAAATTAACAAGCTAAACTGTCTTCTCATGGAATGAATAACAAAATGCAGTTAAGAAATTGTTGATATTAGCAAGGAAAAACAAACCATTCTTCTTGTAGGTACTTGATTTTCCAGAGTCGTACTTAGAATGGAAGTAACAAGCAACCTGTATAGCAAAGTTAAACCATTAAAAAATCTCCAACAATCAATTCCTAATCTCCCTCTTAAACAATCAAAAATCTTCATTTGGTATGCACTCTTCAACATTAAGGGCACATAAACTCACCGATAAATAGCACTTAGATGATGGCACCCACAAATTGGAGCTACCAGTGTCAAAGATCACAGTGAACTTCTGAGGAGGAGAGCCAACACCAATCTCGCCATAGTACTGAGAATCCAGATAATTCTTCAAAGCAACAATATCAGTATCCTCGGATTCTCCAAGATTACTGCAAAGATTATACTTCCTAATAGAAGCTCTCAAGGTCTCTTTGGAATCAAGCCGTGCAGCAATTCGGTTGTTCTTATCAAGTTTCACCTTTTTTAATCCTATTCTAAGCAAACCATCATTCGACGCGGATGATACAACAGCAAACAACAGAAATGAAAGAAACACAAACCCCACAATTGCTTGCAAGTTCACTCCCATGTTTACACCTATAAATTGATGTTAAGAAATAAAAAATCATGCCCAATTCAGGAAACACAATAACCAATATAATCAATCAGATTAATCCAAAGTGATTAACACGCATTATCAAGAAGAAAACTAATATCATGTTCAATAATCATAAATAAAAAATCTAACATAAAGTCATGAAATTTAACTCAAACAATAAGTTGTCTACTGTATGCAATGTCCTTGGATCAAGTAAAGCTCATTTCTTTAGTCAATCTTTACATTTTAACAAAGTAATATAGAAAAAGATCAAAACTTTCAAATCCTTTATTTCCCTTCAAGTCCTCAACTACACCAACAAAACAGAAAATAACCTGCACCTAGCTCTTCATTTCAAAATAAAGAAAGAAACTTTATTGAAACCCAGTTCAGCACACAATAAAACAAACAAGCTGACGCAATTAAACTCTAATTATCACAAAATCTAACCAGCATTAATCTAACCACCACAAAAACTATATATAAAAAAAAAAACTAAACACTAATCACACAAAAAGAAACGAACTTTTTACCAAAAATAATCACAAAAACGCATTAACAAAAAAAGGGTTATACAACAACAAAATATTTATATATATAAAGCTACTCACGGATTTTGATTTTTGAGAAGCAAAAAGCGAAAGGAGAGAGAGTCACGGAGCGAGAAATGGAGCAGAGAACAGAATATATAGAAAACAAGGGAGAGAAGTTACCTGTCAACTTGTAAAGACCCACGATAGACCAAGCAAAGCTACTTGGTATCTTTGGAAGGGTAATTTTTAATCTAGGCTGTTGAAGGTCTAGATTCTTTAAGGTTTTAGCCGTTGATATTGGATAGGTCCAATGAGTCATGACCCCTTTTTGGTGTTTGGTGGTGGGTAATTTTTCATGTTCAACCCTATAATATGATATGTTCCACTTAAGTCCTTAAACTTTCTTGTGTGGAACAATGAGCATCTTTCATCTAAAAAAATATTGTAGCGTTTAATCTGAGAGAGATTATTACCCAGACATGTTTTTGTGGGTTTTATTCATAGTATGAAAGTAATCAAGCGCAACCTATATACATATTTATTTTTTGAGTTACTCATTCTAATTTATTTTGATATTTTTTAATTTCTTTACTTATATATAATTTATTTTCAACCTTTTTTTCTATCTTGTTAATTTGGATAGAGTAGAATGAAGGAATATACACCATCCTCAACTCAAAAATCTTAATTTTGCTATCTATTTTATAGCGTTGGGTCATTTTGTGAAAACCAAATATATTGAAGGACTAAAATGGTCCTTAAATCATTTAGGAATCAGGCATGATATTTATTTTAGAAATATTTTTTTTTAGAAATATATTAAAAATTATATTTTTTTTATTTTTAATAAATTTATTTTTAATATCATTACTTCAAAACTATTTAGCAATACATAAAAATAAATTTTATAAGTAACCAAACACAGGAAACATTCCCGTTCTCACCCTTATTTCAAGATTCAAAATGAGCAAAAATTAATAAAGCATACAAATAAGGGATTCCGTTCTTAGTGAGGAAGTTTAGCACAATCCATTTCAGGTCGTTGATCTTAAAATGAACGGTGATTAAGGGTACGAGAAAGTTGGGATGTCGTTTAATGTGGTGGGTCGTGCTATTGAAAGCATGGGTTTCGTGACGCAGGATGATGGCTCATGTGTGTCGCTATAGATGAATAGCTGACGTGTCAGCGAAGCATGGGATTTGGTTGCCTCTTCCGCCACTACACGCTACATGGTGATGAAAATGGTGTCTCATCTTCTTTTTTTAATAATTAATTTCCGAGTCGAAATAATTTCTGTTTTGATTATTACGATTCAAAGTATATCATTAATGACCTTCAAAAATAAAATCAATACTATTTGCATTTTCAATAAAAACTCTCTTGTCACCATAGAGAAGAAAAAATATATTGTTTAAATTAATAAAATATATTTATAAATGGAGAAATTTTAATATATTGCATCCTAAATATAATCTTGTTATTTCATAATTTTAAAAAAATTTCATTAATTTATGATGTTGATGTTATAACTAGTACTAAAATACTTACAAGCAAAGGAGAGAGATGAACACAAAAATGAGAAAGAAATAGGAGAACGAAAATCTTTTAAAAAATATTTTTTTTTAATAGAAGAGAGAGTTTTAATCACCTTTTAATTAAACAAATATGATTTTTTTTCTTTTTATGTTTATCTATCTCCTATACTATACATATAAATATAAATATTCAGTCGTGTAATTTTAAGCATCATGATTTGATTTTATTTTTGTATTGGTGACTTGAAATTAATAGCCATAATAAACCCTTTTATAAACAAGCCATCAACAACAAGATCAATTGCATTCACAAGTGATTTATCTTTTTTTTTCTCTATTTGCCTTCCCAAGAGCACATCTTAAATGATCATGTAGAAGAACACATTTTATAAATCAAACTTTGTCACGCTGCAAAATTGAGGTTTTTCTTTTGTTTTTTTTATAATAGTCGAATTTAATTTACAAGCAAAAATGAGATATATGAATAAAGTTTTCCCTAAAAGAGGGCATTCTCAAAGGTTAAATAGTCATTTTAAAATATTTGATAAATAAAAAACTTAATCTTGACATATAAAAAAATATATTGATTGTTATATAAGAAATATCTAACTGGTGATGCTAACCTTTGGTTCACTAATCATGGTACTTTTTTTATTTAAAATATCAAAAATAACTTCATTTACTTATATTAAAATATATTTGTTGATATCTTTTTAAAATTTAGCATGTGTATCATTATGGTTGATTTGAAAAACAAGTTCAGAAAATATCATAAATTATAACTTTTTTTCAATCTTATGTTTTTATCATAATCTAAGATGAAAAACAAATTTAGATTCTATTTGTTTTTGCTTTTCAAAAGTGTTTTTAAAAAAATTAATTTTTTTATTTTTTTATTTATTTTAAATTAATATTTTTATATCATTTTAATATGCTAATATTAAAAATAATTTTTAATAAATAAAAAAATATTATTTCAATACATTTCTTGAAAACCAAATAATTTTTAAAGTTATAATAAGTATAAAAGTATCTTTAATTGCATTACATCATGATGTAAAACGAATCCTTAGTTTAGATGGTAAATGAATATACTCTTCTTATTATCATTTTGGGTTCGGATAGAAGGGCTATAAGAAAAATATTGTTTTATGAATACTAATTTAGCTATGAATGACCTATTTAAACATTAATTGACTTTGCCTCTTGTTGTTTTCTTTCCAAGCTATCAGTACTGTCGCCTTTCGTTTTCGGAGTTAGGATTCGGGAGTGCGTGCTTTTCTGTGCAGAGTTGCACACACTGCCACGACTCATGCGTGCATTATCCGAGCCCACAAGCAAGCCCTATTTCTACTCACATGTTCAAGCAATGATGCGAGCTAGCTTCAGGAAGTGAAGAGTGCTTTGTTGAGTGCAAGAATTGTGCTGTCTCTCGAAATGGCAAGAGGAGGAAATTGTTGTTTTCGTGAGCGAATTAACCAGAAATTAATATTGGTGCACCATCCGAAACCGAAAAGGGAGCTTGCATATGCTTAACATGCCAGGATAAGCATTTCTTTCATTTTGTTTTCCTTTTTGGATTGTTAAAAACAGAAAGAGTGGTAGAAATCACATGTAGAATCAGTGAAATATGGCTTTTTTCATGTTTTTCTGTTGGGTTCACAAGAAGCAGAAGCAGGGTTTGGCAGAAACTTCGCTACAGATGTTTCATTTTCTGGGCATCCTAACCAAAGGAGATTCATGTAGTTTAGAAGTTTCAAAATTAAATTTCTTCATTGATTTCTTGAGATTGAGGAGATTATATTTCTATATACAACAAGGTTTATCTAAACATGCATGGGTATAATAAACATTAATCCGATATAAATCAAGTATGTATGTACGTGTGAATATGGAAAACTAAGTACCTTTTCACATGGCAAGGTACAAAACCAGGGATTCTTGAAAATATCGAACTAGGATTTCTTTTCACTTCAAATTTAGTTACTCGCCCAATTGAAGGCCGAAACGAAGAAGAAGACCATATTGTTTGGGCCATGTATATTGGGCCAAGGCATTAGTCCTTCAAATCCAATTGCCATGGACTGTGAATCCACGCAGTACGACATCGACAGCAACTTCTGACAAGGCTAGCATTATGCCACGAGCAAGCTCACGTCATGGAGTCATCCTCCGCTTCTGGTCGTATTTGCTTCAGAATTAAGTTCTCAACTCTATCATCTTTTGTTTCTTGTATGGACAAGTTGATTGTCAAGTTGTTTAATGTGATATCTATATTCAAGCACATCATGCTCGATCTACCTCACAAAAAATATCCAGCTTTGAAAAGAGATAAAAAGAAAAATGGTTTAAAACCTAAAAAAAAATCATGCACGTAAATTCTATTAGATTCAAATTTGTCGATAGTGATTTTGAAAGCCAGAGATCATGAAAAATCATCTCAAAAACCCCATCAGCAACACAATCAAACAAGTCCACACCGAAACCTCTAGGTTCATTTCATTAATTTGTCAAAATCATAGTTGAAAGTACTTTCTTAATATTTACTTCTTTTCTCTTTCTTTTTTTCCCTCTAGAGGAAAATTGAGAGTTTTGCAAAAGATGATTATAGAGAACAATTTCATGTAGGGAGGGAGGGAGAGTTTTTCATCATCTATCCAAATAATAAAAACTAAAATGGTGTGAAAATAAAAAATAATGAATGCGCAAGTCCTCGGATCACGCGATGTGCGAAAACCGTTGGTAAAGTTAAGGAGAGTAAAAGGTCCTTCCATGTACGGTGGATAGATTGAAGAGGTACGGTTGTGACCCACCAAGCTCCACGTTCAATTATCCAAGAACAAGTAAAAATCTTATATAATATATATTCACATGATTGAATCAACATGAGCATGCCATGATGTCAGTGAGAACCAATCAAGGGATACTTTGCATGGAAAGTCAACAATCGTATCCTAGTTTATCCAATTAAATTAATACCTCTTCACCACTCTCCACGAAACTTACCAAATCTCCACATTATTTCTTTTCTTCATGGGTCCAAATTTGACCCTAGAAAGATAGCTTTCGCAATCCAACTTTGATACATTCATTCATCACCCCCCACATGTTGTGGTTGCCTAGAAGTCTCCTCAAAGTCCACTCTTGCAGCCTAGCCAAGCCTTCCTTCTGTCTTACAACACAAACATTTTACGTGTCAAACAGTTGTTCTTGGTCTAGCCGTAGTTCTTGACTGCTTAGATCAGCAAATAGCTCCTCTTCAAACCTTATTCGTTGATTTCTTGACTTGTAATTTATTGTTTTTGTTTTCTTGCGCACATTGTTTCAAGGTTGATGAATAAACAAGTCATCGGGGTATGAAAACGAGAAAGAAATTAAGGGAGTCATTAATGGATAAGACATTGATCATTAATGGAAGATGGGAAACTTATATGCTGATCATTTTTTTGTGTATTGATCAATGATCATCTTCTTCACTGAAAAATCTGAAACAGATTATTGAACAAGAAATGACAAAAAGAATGAAGCTTTGTGTTTTTACTTGATTTCTATCCCTCCCCCACAACAAAGACAAGAAAAAAGAAAAAGAACAGAAAAATATGAACATCTGAACCTCATTCTCATCCCTTAAAAA